CCCTAAAAATTTGTTTGACCCCTAAAATCTCTTAAACTTTCAAAACTAAACTCTAATACAACACAGTTAAAATGGTATTTTGACCCCAAACATAAATGATATAATGAATAAATAATTTTGAAAAAGTGGCATCAAAATTTTTCAATAACAAAACTCATTTGTAAAATTCTCTTTTACCTCTAATTAATTTAGTAAACAAATCATACATATAATAAGAATTTTACCTACATTATAAAAATAAAATATGAACGTACCAAAATTTAAAGTTTTCTCATCTTTCACTTGTCCATAACCCAAAATTTTCAAATTGGTAGATAAAATGAAGAAATTTGAATGGTTTACATATATAATTGTGAAAACTAACCAAATTTTTTGCATATTATCATCATATGTTCGTTAGAGGTGACAAAGGTTTTCTCATATTATGTAAATAAAAAAAATATGAGTTTTATTTACTATATTTTTACTAAAACTTCAAATTTCCTTATTTTGTTTTACTTTTGAAAATTTCTAATTATATAGGTTTAATATAAACACTATATTAATTGGCCCTCAAAATTAAAATCATTTGTTTACATGTTACGAATTTCAAATAACAAACTCATTTGTAAAATTCCCTTTTACCTCTCTAATTAGTAAACACGCCATATGATCATCATGTGACAAAGGTTCAAATTGGTTTTTTCATATTATTATGTAAATCAAACAATTTCTGACTTTATTTGACATAAAATAAAGGGGTTAATTAGCTTAATATTATTTTTTGGACATATAATTGGGAAAGTAACATAACCAAAAATATAATTAGGAAACTAGCAGAAAAAAATAAAAATATGACGAAATTGCCCTTATAATTATAATTAAGGTAAAAATAAAGAAAAAATCCGTAAAATTCTTCACTTGATCTCATCTCATAAATAATTGCTCCTCCCAAAAAACGCAGATCCATTTTATGTAAAAACAAAATTGGGTCAAAAAATCAAATATGTTGCATCAATTTACTATTTAACATAGCTAACTATTTTTGTAACTATATACTTAATTGATCTCTGAACATAGTTAACCACGTCACACTATTTCAAACTATTTAAAACATAGTTAACTATATTCACAAAATAGTTACTAATTTAAAAACGTAGTTAACTATTTTCAGAGTATAGTTGACTACACGAAAATGTTGTTTTAATAGTCACTTATTTAAACAACCTAGTTATTAGTTTGCATAACAAAAAAAAACATATATAGTTAACTATTATCAGAAATATAGTTACATATTATAATGAAAAATAATTGTTAAGGAGGAGGAGTAGGAAGAGACTATTGATTTTAGGGTTAAAAAAAAATTTGTTTTTTTTTATTTTATTTTAATGTTAAAAATTATGGAGATGTGAATGAGT